AGGTTTCTGGTGTCTCCTCTGGGCTTGGCCTTACCTGGGGAATTAATGTGCAGGAGAATCTATCTTGATGTCCTGTCTCCTCCACTAATAGAGTTAATTTGTTGAAACCAAGAAAACTCTCCAAAGCTTTTTTTCCACTTGTAAAGAGTTTTGCTGTTGAGTATTCCATTGTGGTCCTCACAAGGAGGGGAAGGCTCAAATGAGCTGAGGAGGTTGATTTTTTTAATCTACACAGGTGCTGGAAGCCTAAAAAAAATGGCAATGGTAATATGCAACAAGTTCTCAAACTAAAGACAAAAAGCAAGAGAAGGGCAAGACTTCTGTCACGTTTTTCTGAAAGTGTGGGAGAGGTTTAGCAAAAGGAAATGGACGTATTAGTAAATTAAAAGTTTCTTCTCCCTCAGCTGGAGAAACTAGATTAAGCATCGAAGTGACCATTCAGGGAAACCATTGTGCTTATCAGCCTTCAGAACTTCTTTCAGAGTGCGCGACAGGCACAGCCCCTTTTCATTTATTTTACCATCCACTATTTTTAAATTGGCTAATCAAGAAATCTAGATAATTAAAAGTTGGTTTTGCTCAACACCAATGCCTCTGGTTTTACCATAAGTCCAATTGTAACAAAAACTGTCACCTGATAATTGTCTTTATTTCATAAAACTGTCCTCAAAAACATCCCCAATGTTACTGTTATGAAGTTCACATCGGTATCTTAAAAAGTGGATTTTAATGGGGAAGTGGGTGTAAAAAGAAACCAGAATTTTTTGGATCTCCCATATGCTGAAGCCATACATATTTGTCCTTTCATTTTTACTCCATGAGCAAAATATCTTCTCCACCACCCCAAGCATGCACCCAAACTATGCTGCCTGAGAGTCGGTGGAAGCATCTAGACTCTAAGTGGTCTGGCTCCCATTCATTCATCTGTCTTCACACTCATTTGGCTTCTGGTCAGTGAGCCGCACAGTCAATAATACCATGTTCCTGAAAATTATATTAATTACTATCTGGAAATGGAATCCCGTTTTAAACACTTGGGGAGGCCCTTTACTTAAAAGCTTTATTTTCTCATTTGTGAAATATATGGGTGAAGTCAGTCAGATTTTACTAGTACCTCTAAGGCTGTTTCCAACTTAAAGACTACTACAATTTCAAGGTACAGACTAGAAAGTCTTATTTAAGTTTGCTAAATCAAAGACTCTCTCCTAAGAGCTTCCAAGCTAGTTTTTAAATCATAAGTTATAAGGCAGGAAAAAAAAGTTTAAACTAACACTTGGTGATTATACAGTTGTATACCAAATCCAGATGTCTACTTTACTTCTCAGGACCACATCTATGACTAAGTGAGCGATCTCAGACTTTACATAATTTAGTATAAAACCCAAGAAGCAAAACTGGAAACGTCTGACTGTCTTAGCTGCAAATACACTTTTAAAAGTCCTAATTCCATTTAAACTTTCTTATTTTTATTCTATATATGTGATGTGGTATTTTCTTTTCAAACTTTTGAACGTCCTAGAACACTAGTTATACTTTTGAATCCTTTTTTCAGCAAAAAAGAAAAAAGAAAAAGAAAAAGAAAGAAATCAAACTTAAAACCTCAGCCTGGATTTGAAGGCAGAGGAACCCTAAAGTAATCCTCCGGCTCCAGTCCGATGTGCAAGCCTAGGAAATGGTCGGTAATTTCATAGTAAACAAAGTGTAGTAACTGATTACCTCCGTTCAGCCACTGCCAAGTCCAAAATAGAACACAAACAGAGGCAACAGGACACAGAAGGCAAAATCAAGGAGCGGGTCTGGCTTCCCTTCTGGGCTCACTGCTGATGGTCTATGTGTCACCGAACTGAACACTCCTGTCTGTGCACAGGCATAGGAAGGGGGTGAGGGTGACAGCCAAAGGTGGTGAAACCCAGGGAATGAAATAGAGTGGGGCAAGAAACCAGCACCAAGAAGAGAAGCTGCCTATAGATGAATCTACTACAAATTAGAAGAAAGGTTTCACCTCTCTCCCATCTTCCATAAGCACCAAGGATTATGATGTAAAAATCACCCAAAACATGCACTGTTCCAATAAGAACACCCATTTTTAGAGTACTTAAAAGTCTTCAAGTCTCTAACCCCTGCAGCTGATTAGGCCTCCAGGCTGCCTGATGGCTTGAAAGCCACCAAAAGGTTTCAGTCTGCAAGGGGAAAGTGACCTCAGGACATTCTTAGGCATGATCCAAATGATACACTGCAACACAGAGTAAGTCAATACAGTCAAGGGTACAGAATACGAAGTTTAAGCTCCAAGAAGCTAAACACACAAAAGGCTCAAAGACACTACCCTGTAAACAAGGAAAACCGAAAGAATTAAGGTCAGCCAGGAGCTACCCACAGGCCTCTGGGTTACTAAGCAAGACACCCAACAACCAAACACAAATGAAACTTCCACCAATGAAAAAGTTAGCCAGCATTAACTAGGAAGTGTGCGGAATTTCTCAGGTAAGGTGATACTATCAAAATTAAAGGAAGTCCTTCAAATTAGGATGACCTCAGTCACAGTTCAGTCAATACCTGGAATAATTACGTATAACAGCCCCATTAACTCACATAAATGTCCCCAGATGGCAACTGTACTGTCATCCTGTTCAAAAGTAATATATAATCATGGAAAAGCAATGAAGTTTTGAAACAGAAGAAACAGACCTCTGCTATCCAGGAGCTTTGCACACTAATCTCAGGCATGCTTCTTCAAGTTCAGATGTGTCCATTCAACCGTTCACCTGCCCATCACCCAGCAGTGTTTCTTGGTCACATTTCTCTCAATGTGCAAGCACTGGGACAAACATGTGCAAGACCAGGCCAGAGGGGAAGCGAAGCACAGGGAATGGTTTTTGTAAAATATAGAAAACTCCACTTAGAAATGGTCAAGTTCAGACCGGGAATATAGCTAAGTGGCATAAGCGCCTGCCCAGCAAGCACAAGGTCCTGAGTTCAAGCCCCCATACCATCAGATCCACATAAAAGTAAATGCACATGTGTGTGCATCCACACAGGTGCGTGCACACACACACACCCCTTGACCTCTCAGGTTTCACACCTAACAAATTGTAGTTATAAGGGCCGGCCAAATAGCTCAGTGAATTAAAGCACCTGCAGGCAGGCGCAGAAGCCAAGGGTTTGATCCTCAGGCCTGCCATGCCGGCCCCACCCCCGGAGCATGCTGGACTGCAACTGAGACTGGACATGGTGGCGCGCACCTGTAATTCCAGCTGTTGAGGGGCTGTAAACAGGAGTCCGATCTAACAGTGAGACCCTGAACACCATGTAGACCCTTCCCTAAAATACAATACCAACAACTGTAGTTATAAACATGAAGGCAATGCATAGCCCTTCTGAGTTTTGGTAAATAAATCCCACTAATCATTAAAGATTAACAGGGACTGGGGAGATGGCTCAGTGGAAGAAGTGCTTCCCTGGCAAGCACAAGGGCCTGAGTTCAATCCCCGGTTCCACAAAAAAAATTAAATAAATAAAATAAATAAAGATTAAGGTAAATTTTAGGCAAGAGAGTTCATGCAGTAGAAGTTATAAGTTTGAATCATCACCCCCAAAATATGAAGATAGACAGACAGCAGACAGTATTTCTGAGAGACAATTTAAGGAAATGAATAGTTAAAAAATAAAAAAAAAAAAACACTTGGAAAAACAGAATCTTTTTATTCCAATAAGACTAGTGAAAATATTTTGTAATCACTGGTCTCAAGGTCTATGCTGAAAACAAGTTAGAGATGGGAATCAAAAAAATCTTTCAACTAATAAAACACTGAGCAGAAATAAATGGTTTAACTACCAAGACACCACACACAATGAAGCAAAGAAGGCTAGCTGTACCTCATTCTTGTAGAAGTTACTTTCAAATACTTCTGTTTTATCATTTACAATCTGTAAAAATTAAATCACCAAAGGTTTTGAGAAACAATCAGCAGGGTGTGACTTTTCGAAAAACAATCACTGATCTTGCAAACCAATAACTTCACCAACATGGTAAAAGACAACCCAAAACTGGCTCCATAAGGAAAAGAAATGTTTCTCTTCCTAGTATCAGATTTTTTTTTTTTTTTAGCAGTAACCCTCTTAAAAAGCTGCAGCGTTCATTTTCTTTCCACTTCTGGAGGGGCCACTTCTGGTATTAAAAATTAAACCTAAGTTACTAATATATTCTTATGTGAAGTCGCCCTTCTACTTTTAGAAAAAAGTATTCAGTTTCACTGCAAATATGACTGGCCGTAACTGGAACTGAAGGTCTCCACGCAGTCCTTACAGGAAATTTACTTCTTAAGAAGAAAACAGAACAGACAGGTGTACATGGTGAAGGTGACTTGCCCTTCAAAGGAAGCCTAAAATCAGGGACTTATTTTGACAAGCTGGGGACAAAAATTCCAGTTTCTCTCCAGTGCAAAAGAACTGACTCACCACATCAGGCCACAAAGCAGCAAGAAAAAAAATTAAATCATTTACATAAAGCGTTTGTATTCTCCCTACGCTAAATGTTTTTGAATACTAAAACAACTCTCCAAAATGTACAAAAATGCACTGAGAATGTAATAAGCACACTTATTCATGCACAGTCAATGAAAATATCTTCTATCCTGGAATAGTACTAACAATCCCATTTGCCATTAAGTAACCCAAAACTTTGGCAAAAATATGCAGGATATCAGTTAACTCTTATCAAATTTGAAAGGTCAGTGTTTAGTCTTAAATTTCACCCAGCTCACTTTAAATCTTAGATTATACACAGTTATATAATACCATAGAACTATGAACTATGGGAAACATTCGTTAAACATCATAGTACAGGTATAACTCTTGGCCTTATATTAATGAAGTAGCCACAACTTCTGCAATAATAACCCATACTGTATTTTCAGATGACTGGGCAATTAAAGTTTGGGAAGGGTCTACAGTTTTTAATCTTGCTCCACGACATTACATTTTTTTTTTTTTTAACCTACGTTATTGGGTAGTTTTTTCAGAAAAACAATGCAAATAGAGGCGCCTCGGTAGAGGCAGAGATGCAGCGCAAGAACTGTTCCTCGGGCGGGCGTGGCGAGCTGACTCCACACCCGGCTGCCTCCATTCTTGCTGCCTCCGAAGGACTTGGAGGTGCGCGCTCTGGGGCTCCCTGCGCACCACCGCCCGACGCCCACCCGCAGGAATCTGCGCACAGGCCTGCACAGCTCCCCGCCGGGGAGTCCTAAAGATGCGGACCGCTCGCACCACGCAGGGACTGGGCCATCGCTGCCCGCGTCCTCGGCTTCTTCCGGGCACAGATTTGTGGATTCCACCACTAGAGAGTTTGGGGCAGCTGCACGCCGGCTCGCTACTTCGCGTCTCAGCGCCGCCCTGCTCTTTCTCCGATCCCCAGCTGCCCCACATCCACCCGCGACAGGTGGGCAGGGGTGGCGATGCTCTGCGACATGTGCCGCTTTCGCTTAGCTTCGGGCCGACACTGGGCCGATCCGCGCTCAGACGCGGCAGCCCGAACGCCCGGCCACCGAGCGGGCCCGGCCAGCGACGCGCAGAAGCGATAAGGCCGCAGAGCCCGGCCGGCGGGCGCTATCTGGCCCGGGCACTCACGCCTGGCTCCTGGGCGGGCCTCCGGCCCAGGGCGCAGCAGGCCCGAAAGGACTCCTCCTCCCCGGCCCCGAGCCTGCGCCCCGCACCCGCGCCGATGCACCCCGAGCTCCGCGCGGCGGCCCGAGTCCCCGCACCTTCCCGCCGGG